ATTGGACTATGCACCTGAAGGAGACTAAACTTCTCAGTCTAAACTCTAGATATCATTATGTAAAGTAAAAGGACAACTCTAGACAAGCAGAGAATCAGAAAAATACTTGGACCACACTGTGTCCCTCAAAGAATGTGTGGTAAACCCTAACCCCTGTGGCAATTCAAAGCCACCATCCCCTCCTTGGGGGCCAGACAAGGCTGTCTGCCCCTGGAAAGGCTGAGTCTCAGAACACGCGATACAGCGTCACTGTGAACTGGAATCGATTCGGGGGCAGTGCTTTGGGTGATGGTGCCATAATCCCATTTGGAAATAGAACTTTGTCATTGTGGTGGTTAGACTGTTGGCCAACTTGATGGTCCTTCTGTGGAGGTATGGGTGGAGCCCAATCTGTAAATCAGGCATAGCCTGATGATGCCTCATTGGGGGTGTGACCTTTTTATGAGAGAGACCCTGAAAACTTCTCTCCCTCTTGCCTTTCACTTTGCTGTCTGCTTGGATTGTGTCTGCCTGCAGAGGCATCTCTATTTGGGTTACGCCGCACAGTGGGAGTGGTGCCCTCCCATGTTCCCACTGCCCTTGGATCCATGCTGCTCCTGCCTGAGATCTTCCTGCTTCTCCATTCACCCTTCTGCCTCAACAGCCGCAGTTACGGACCTCTAAAGAGGGTCGCAGCTAACCTCAGATCCATGGACCTGAGTGGGCCTGGGCTGGGCTGCCTTCTTGATAAAAAGTTTTCTTACACATAGGAGTGGTTACTGGTTTTGTTACAGCCATGCTCATGAAATTGTATCAGGTAGTGTGTCTTTAAAAAAAATCATTTTATAGGGGCTCATACAGCTCTTAGCACAATCCATCCATCCATTGTGTCAAGCACATTTGTTATTTGTTGCCATCGTCATTTTCAAAATATTTTTTCTACTTGAGCCCTTGGTATCAGCTCCTCATTTTTATCCTTCCCTCCCCACCCCTCCCTCCCCTTAGAGTGTGTCTTAAGTAAAACTCTTTCGAGAGCTAGAAGAGCTAAAAACAAGCATGTAAGAAGCAGAGTTGGGGGCGAGAGATACCAAGCTGCATGAATATCACCCAGGGGCAGAAGCTCCGAGGAGATAAAGAACCTTCCCCCCAAGACCCGACACAGACAGAACGTTTTCTTCTAGAGCCGGCACCCAGAATTCAGCCTTCTAGCCTCCTAAGTTATGAGAAAATCAACTCCTGTTTGTTATAGTCACTCATCTGTGCTATTTCGGTTCCAGATGTACTAGATAACTAGGCCCAAATGCGTTAGATAAACAGGACACATATTATCTGTGGCAATCACTCAAGAGACAGTATGTGCCCAATAAAAGGAAACCAATGGTCAGAAGATAGGAGAAGATGGAAAGGACACGCAGATGGTACGGCACCGGATTCTGTAACATTTACTGCGGAACCTAGCAGAGTGTGAGTGTGGCTGGGCAACTGAGAGCATGCTAGGAAATCATTGCTTGACACCAAAGATAAATGTAGGCGTGTGCTAACAGCGGGAAACGAAAACTCTCAAAAGTCTCAGCAAACTCAAAGGCTGGGGTGGATCTGTCCAGCAAAAGAAGTCACAAAGCAGTAACATTTCCTAGGTAATACGCTCAGATGGGAGAGGGAGAGCGAGCAAATGGAAAATGTTCACGGTGAGAGGGAAGAGTGATTCATTTGGGTGTCATGAAAAATTTGATAGCTGCTAACTAACAGGAAAAAAATTTAAAATACAGGGTTTAATGGGAAGTTCCACCCCCCTGTTGGTCCATTTGTCATACTGTGATGGCCTGGATGATACTATGATGCTGGGAGGTATGCCACTGGTATGTCAAATACCACCACGATCATCCATGTTGGGAAGGATTCTGCAGAGCTTTCAGACTAAGGTACACCAGGAAGAGGGGCCTAGGGTTCTACTTCTGCAGAGCAGTTGATACAACCCCGCTAATCAGAAGAGCACACTGTCTGACTAGTCTCAAACATGGCAATCACTGAGTAGCTGAGCCAGACTGGGCAAAGTATGGTCCTCCGACAGGGATTCACAGCGGTAGGTGCCGGCTCCATGTTCGCTGGCAACAACATCATGTTATTCGGCAGCACTTCCAAATCAGCAGGAGGGAGAAAAGGAAGAACTCCAACCTGGTTACTCAAATGGAAGAAACAGAAAAAAAGTCTAAATGGGGCAAATACAAATAAAATGAAAGGAAATCCAAATACTACAGGTATTACACTTCAAAAGCAAGAGGTTTCCATTTGAATTTGAAGAGGCAAAAGCGAGCCATTCCTTGCTTATGAGAAATATACCAAAAAACAAGTGACCAAAGGGAGGCTGAAGACAAAGCAGGCAAACTGACATGAGGACAGAGCATCAAGATTGGTTTGACAGAATCTGTGCTTTCCACAAACTTTGTGAGGTCCCTTCACTTACTTGGCCACAAATCTCAACAGATGGAAAAAGTAGAAAAAATGTACAGGCTGCATTCTCTATCATCCAATAATTTTTTTTATAATGACAAAAAACGAACACTCAAATCATAGGAAGTACTAGTCCCTATAGAAAAAGTATATAACATGAACTAGCATTTCTTTAAAACACCAGTACAGTAGATAAAACTGGTTTTTGAAAAAAGTAGGGGGCAGTGGAGGAGAAAACAATATATAAAACATTAAGAATGGGGAAAGAAGATACACTTGGTAAGGTATTAAATAGGTAATGGACACATGTACAAATATGCTTGATACAAATAATGTATGGATTGTTATAAGAGCTATTAGAGCCCCCAATCAAATGATCTTAAAAAAAGGTAATGGATTTGTTTTTCATTGTTTCTCTTGGGTTTGGCAGTTGGTGACGCACAGGAGAGGATGCAGAGACAATAAGTGATGTGATGGTTTATCGGGGATGGGGGCGGGGGATTTGGGGAGCAAACAATGAATGCAGGAGGGGAAGGGAGCATTAGAACTCATTACGATGATGTATATACAACTCTTTAAAAATAGTTTAACTATGGAAGTGTATGATAGGTGAATACCAAATCAAGAAAACTACTAGAAGAAAGAAAAAGAAACCAAACTTGATCAATAGTTACCATGAGTGAAGAAAGAAGAGTTTTTGCTTAGGGGACATTGAGTTTATGTTCCTGGTGGTAGCATCATTTGGAAAAGGGTATCAATAATGGTTGTGTAACACGAAGAGTATAATCAATGTCACTGAATTACATATACATGTAGAAGTTGTTGAAGAATGTTTTGTTGTGTGTATTTTTGTCACGATTAAAAATATAATTACATGAATTAAAAAAAAGAAATGTAAGTTCAGAAAAAGAATAAAGGCACGGAATGACGTGACTGTAAACTCACAGTGACCCTATAGACAGAGTAGAGCTTCCCTGTGAGTTTCCGAGACTAACTCTCAACAGAAGTAGAAAACCTCATTTTCCTCCTATGGAGCAGCTGGGGGATTTGAACTGCAGACCTTGTGGTTAGCAGCCCAATGTGTACCCACTATGCCACCAGGGTTCCACTTGATAGTCAAAAGCACCTGCAAACTCTAAAACAGAGACAACCAACTCAACATTGGTGAGAATTTAGCTAAGCACTTTGGAGAGGAATAAAAATTTTCAGCTATAAGGATGTTCATTTTCTTCAACCAGCCACAACCAGGGGACTCTACACTAAGGAAATAATCCTAAGCGCGAATACAATGTTAGGTACAAGGATGTTCTTCTCAACATCAACGGATTATGTGCTAGAAAACTCAAGGCCCTAAATTCAACATGTTGGTCCTTCAAGCCCTCCTGCCCTCAAGTGTGACCTCTGCTGAAAAGCCTTCTCCCTTTCCTAAGCTGCACAGGATTTTATTTTATTCTTCTCTTAGAGCATAGCGTATAGTCTGCTTCCTATTTATGGGTAGGTAGAGACCTTTCCTCTCTTGTATATAATGAGCTCCTTAAAAAGCCAAAATGAATCAAACTCATTGCCTTCAAGTCTATCCCAACTCATAGCTACAGCTACCCTACCGCCTGAGATGAACTGCCTCTCAAGCTGTCAATATTTATAGAAGCAGACTGCCACAACTTTCTCCCATGCTTTTGGCTAGCAGCAAAGCACTCAACCACTGTGCCGCCAGGGTTCTGTAACCCCTTGATTAGCCCCTTCTGTAGCCCCTGTTGCTGCTTGCCACCCCCCAGAGGGACAAACAACAGAAACATGGGTGAAGGGAGATAGTGGAGGGTGTAAGACATGAAAATAGCAATTTTTAATTTAGCAAGGGTTCACGAGGGTGGGAAAAAAGAAGAGTTGATACCAAGGGCTCAAGTAGAAAGAAAATATTTTGAAAATAATGATAGCCACATATATACAAATGTGCTTGATACAACTGATGTATGGATTGTTATAAGAGCTGTGAGAGCCCCAATAACATGATCTATAAGAGACAGAGAAAGTAGCAAAGCAACAACCACCCCGCTGCTGCAGAGTAGATTCTACCTAACTTAAACCCCCATCCAAAGCCACTGCTGTGGACTCGAGTCTGTCTCCCAGCGACCCCACAGGACCGACTGGAACTGGCCCACAGTTTCCTGGACTGCAAGCTTTACACATCTTTGTCCCACTGAGCGGCTGGGTCGGTCGGTTCAAACTTCACAAATTTTGGTTCACAGCCAACACTCTAACAACGAGTCCCCAGAGCTCCCCTGACTGGATCAACTCAAAACACACTGCCATTGAGTGCATTGACTCACAGCGACCCCAGGGACACAGAAGTGCCCCATTGGGCTCCCAAGTCTGTGACTCTTCACAGGAGTAGACAGCCTCATCACCCACTGCGCCACCAGAAAAGCGCCTACTTAATAGCAGGGTCTACCTCCACCTGAGTGTGCAACCACACCTAACCCCAAACCTCACCCTGGTGGGTACCCGATACATGTGGAACCCTACACACCCAGACATTCACAGCTACACGGCCTGCTCAACCATGTCATTACCTGGGGACAGGATCCCGCCAGTCACCCCTCTTGTTTGCTTTCTTGGCTCTAGAGAATTCGTTCACCCAAATGCTGCCAAACAAACCAAAGCTGACATGGAGCCACCTCTCAGCCTCTCCTGCGGGGGTATCTCTCCCCAAATCATCCGAACTGCCTTCTCCATGGAGAACAAGCTCCGGGAACCTGACGGACTGCTCAGAGAGTTCTGGCCCAATGGACGCCAAGGTCTGTGTTGGGCCTGTGGCCTCTTCCTTCGAAGCTCCTTCTCGTAGAGGCTCTGACAGTGGATGATTTCCAGGGGGCCTCGTTTCTTCATCTGGATCAAATCTAAGGAATAACTTCTTTCCGTGAACCTAGAAGAGAGAGGCGTGGGGTGAAGTCTTGCAGACCAAAGAAGGTGAGGAGCAGAGGAAATCTATGTAGACATTTATCCTGATAGTGTCTTTCTCCATTCTTGCCTCCCATGCAGCTCCCCCGGAAACTGCACATTGAGTATTGGGGCCCTTTCCCCCTTTGGTTCCCGTGGTGTAGACAGCACAGGGATTTCAATCTGATTGGGAGGTGCTAAATTAGAAAATTAGATTTGTGAGAAAGCTATGATAGCAAAGCCATACTAAAATACCCAAGGAGAAGTGCTATTTTTGTTCACGGATTAACTAAAATACAAGATTGTGGGGTTAAAGGGAAGAGGGAACCCCACAAAACATCACAGGTTCGGTAGGCGCAATTGTACAGCGATAATAAGTAGAGATCATAGTAAAGTCATAGAGAGCATGAGAGTTAAAAGATGGAGTCAAGTAATGGAGTCAGATGCAATTCATGGTAGCATTGCTCACCTCAGCCCCACCTGATGGTCCTCGTGGAGGGGACTTAGCCGTCAGAGAAGAAGCAGCTGCCTCGTCCTTCTCAGCCACCCTCCTGAGAACCAGGGAGCCTCCTTATTTATTGCTAACCACGCATTGTATCACTTTAGGGGGATCTGATTACAGAATCATACATCACAGAAAGGGGCAATACAATCAATAGGAGGGAGACGACCTAGGGGTGTGCCCATAGGAATGGGAAGGTCTAGGGTTACACATGTGACAAGATGGGTGGACTCTAGATTCATAATGGCTACCTAACCTTGGTCATCCTTGGGCGGGTTTGCCCTCTCTGGTATCTCCTAAAAGTAAACAGACAACTACTATCCTTATCAGAAGGGAGTGGGCCTTATTTAGGGTGAGTCAGACTATACAGTCTGGCCGCTCTAGATGGCTGGTGTTAAGGAGAATAACCTCTGACCTACTTTCGCTGACAGCTCAGTGTACAGTCATTCTCAAGCGAAATCTGGCATATATTTTGGGGAGACAACTTGGGAGAAATCCTTCTGTTCTCACACAAGTTGCTATCCTTTTATTCAATATGTAATATTAGGAATCAAAAATGACTTGCTGGAAGTGAGTTTGGTTTGGATTTTTTGAGAACCAATCAGCGGCCACACACAGCATGAAGACAGCTGATGACAATGCACTGGGCGATGGCCCTCTCGCCACCGTCTGGAAGATGGCCTCGATGGGAGTCGGCACCACAGAAATAACCAATTTGAAAACTCAGCAACAACTATCGACACAAAAACTGGCCAAGGAATCAAACAGACTGTGAAATCTACAAGGGAGAAAAATTCACCTCATCTACATGAAAATAATTTTAGTACAATAAAATGAAAGCAGGCCACATTTATGAAATAACTGCTCAGCGGCTTGGTATCCTATTTTCATGTCTCTGAAACCCTAGTATGTGACCTGCGTCTGGCCATATTTTGAACTGAGTCTGTTCTGCTTGACCTGAAATCCACAGTCTTTCAAACACTCAAGGAGCCTGGAGACACAATGGGTTATTCACTGGGCTACTAACTGCGAGGTTGATCCTTCGCAGCCACAAGCCTCTGTTTAGATCAGTGGTTCTCAACCTGTGGATGGCGACCCCTTTGGGAGTCGAAAGACCTTTTCACAGGGTTCGCCTAAGACCATCAAAAAACACTTATTTCCGAAGGTCTTAGGAACCGAGACACCGCTCCTCTATCGGTCTCAAGGCGGGTCCGCCCACATTCTAATACATCCACATATGAGTATGGGGCATGAAGACTGTTACCCATGCTACACCATGCTTCAAGACAAAATTTCATTTATTTGTAATTAGAAGTAAATATTTCACGACATATAATTACATATTGTTTTTGTGATCAATCACTATGCTTTAATTATGCTCAATTTGTAACAATGAAAATACATCCTGCATATCAGATATTTACATGGCGATTCATCACAGTAGCAACATGACAGTTCTGAAGTAGCAACAGAAATAATTTTATGGTTGGGGATCACTACATGAGGAACTGTATTAAAGGGTGCGGCGTTAGGAAGGTTGAGAACCACTGGTTTAGGAAAAAGATGAAGTTTTCTGCTCCCATGAAGATTTACAGCCTCGGAAACCCACAGGGCCAGCTCTATTCCGTCTTAGAGGGTTGCTATGAATTGGACTCAGCTCGATGGCAGTGAGTTTGAGTTTGCTGTGAGGTGGCATCGTTGGGTAAACACTGGACTGCTAACAAACAGAAGGACGAGGGTTCAAACCCACCAGCCGCTCCAAGGAAGAAGGATAATGCGATCTGCTCCAGGAAAGGTTTACAGCCTCCTCGGAAACCTGATACAGGGTCAGGACGCGTGAGAACCTCCTTGAAGACAGTGGGTGGGGTAAATAACGAAAATCAAAGCATTTGGCATCAAAAGTAACTGAAATTGCCTGCTACTTTTCTGATCACTAAAAGCATACAAAATCACAGTTCTGCTGATCTCTCCAACTTGCCAATTTGTACACCTTTCTAAAGAATTCCAGAATAATTTGTCTGCAAATCTGAGCATGGACTGTTTTTTGCCATATACAGTGAACCCTCGCCACTTCGCGCTTCAACTTCCGTGGCTTCACTCTATCACGGTTTTTGCGTAACAGCACCCACTGCCTACACCCGCTCCTTCAGAGGAAAAAGACGGCGACCCACCTGTAGAGTACATC